TCATGTTGAATAATGTAGTCTCTAGTTGAAGGAGTAGGCCTATTTATTTAGTTAGGCAATAGGTGCAGCTGGATTAGTCAATGTTTTTGGTCTGAAATGAGTCTATGTTTTATTCCACAGCAGAATGTTTAGACCCTGGTGCTAGAATATCATAATTCCACATTTTGTCCCTGTTTCCTTTGGCACTGAATGGATTTCACTCGAAAATTGAAAACTTGCATATAAACTCTGTTCTGGTTTATGACACTATGACCATGCTCATGCATGATTCTGTAGAAAATTAAACAATCGGGCGGATAGAAAATATATCAGGTATTTTGCTCATGATCCTTGACCTATAAAATTACTTTCAAACAGGATCAGGATCTCATCATAAATTAATTACGTGTTCAAATTAAAGACTGTTTTAACATGATCAAGTTGGTGATCATGTTAAGTCGTCAAACTATCATACACTCAGTTCAAACAAAACCCTAATCAACTGTTCACATTTACAGTCTGATAACCTAACATATTAGATTGGTTAACAAGAAAACGGTTTTCACAATCATTACCTCTAGTTTGGCCAAATTTCACTTTGGTCCCTAAACTATACTTTACTCCATTTAATTTCAATTTGGAAAATTTTCCACTGTAGCTTGCTGACCTAAACTAGAATTTGACTCAAATTACATAAACCAAAAATTGGCCAAACAAATCAAGATTTGTCATCATAAGGGCAATAATGTCCCTTGATTATCTGGAAAAAAAAAATCTCTTTTCAAACAAGTGGGTCATTTGTAGAGCCCAATTTGTATCCTATAGGCCAAATCATGCTCTCATCTAAATTGGGCCCAAAAACAAAGCTTACAGCATCACAAAGCAATAGCATATGCCCAAATCAGCACCATCTCCATCTTCTTCACCTAGTCCTTGTTCTTTCGCTCAGGTTCTTCTCTCTTGTTCTCTCTGAAAACTGCAGCTGAGCAGCGATGCAGGCCATTTCGAAGCGTGTCGGGCACCAATACCTGACTCCCTCGTCTTCAATCTCGTCGCTCAAGTCAATCTACCCTGTTTCCGATCACTGTAACCCCCCATTTCCTCTTCATTTCTTAGGGTTTGATTCTCCCTAAGTTCGTGACGTTAATGTTTCAATTTGTCAATTTTGTAGATTATGGAGCTGATCGTCCGAAGTACGGATCTACCCTCGCCACTAAGGGAGTGGGGCACCTTGTGCGCAAGGGCACAGGTGGAAGATCATCTGTTAGGTAACACTCCAATTTATCATTTCTAGTTACGCATTTTTCAGTCTGGAAAAGGTAGAAAATTTAAAGAGTGAAAGGGTTAGATTGTTGTTGCTCCTTCTGTTTTCTGGCAAAATGTAGGAAAAGTTCAAACTTTTTGTCAGAAATTGATTTTACTCTATTAGGACAGGATAGTTTTTTATCTCTTACATTTGCATGAGTAACTAAAATTTTCATTGGAAATGGAATGTAACTTCTAAGAATCTAACTACCAGCTCAAGTCTTGTGAGAAAAATGTTTTACCATTGCGCCAGGTGAACATAATGTCCCATTAATGGTTTAACTATACAGATGAGTCAAGCTTCTCGTTTCTGAATTAAAAAATTAGTAAAAGAAAACCTAGGCAACATAGATTTTGTATCTGTTGATGTATTTCTTCCCATTGTGTTTCATATCTAGAAAGTAAACATTATGTTGGTCTCATTGAATAATGTGTTTTAGGTGAAATTATTCACTTTGCGAATTTAGACACTTCAGAGGGATTGGGCTTGCAATTTTACGTTGTCCCATAATTCTGTTGTTTACATTGTTTGGAAAATAATCTGTCTTTTTTCAGTGGCATTGTTGCTGCAGTTTTTGGATCTACAGGGTTCCTTGGTCGTTATCTTGTACAACAACTTGGTGAGCTAACTGTATATAAATGCTTTTAATTGGTGGCATTGTTACCTGCATGCATTTATTTCGATTGTGCTTGTTTTCATTGAGAACATTTCTAGTAGGAGATTGTTGGACTGAAATTGATCTGTGAAAATACGTTTTAAATCTTTTATCCTTAAAAAAGACAGATAGAAAAGTGTTTATAGTATTTTTCATGCATGTGTGTGCTGACTCTTTACTTCACTGCCAGCCAAAATGGGAAGTCAGGTGTTAGTTCCTTTCCGTGGTTCTGAGGATTCCCATCGTCATCTGAAGTTGATGGGAGATTTAGGACAGGTAGGGTAACCTGTGTTGTTTCACATAGTTAAACATTCTTTCTTGACCGGCAATGCATTTGTTCTCCATTCTTCAATCTATCATGTTGCTGATCTTCTCACATTTCACATACACAGATAGTACCTATGAAATACAATCCGAGAGATGAAGATTCAATTAAGGCAGTCATGGCGAAAGCTAATGTGGTTATCAATCTCATTGGTATAAATTCTTCAATTGTAATTTTACATGTTAAAGATATTTAAATCTTTGGAATCAATGAAGGAACACTTTGTAGCTTGGCAGGGAGGGATTATGAGACAAGAAACTTTAGCTTTGAGGAAGTGAATCATTCCATGGCCGAACAACTGGCAACGGTAGGCATCCTGCATTGACATTCACAACATTATTTGTCATTCTTATGCTGCTTCTGATCCTAGTGCCATCTGCTTCTCTTAAAAATTGGTTTCACAAAGCATCAAACTTAACAAAAATGGGAGTAAAAAAGTGTTTCTAGTCAAAATTATTTTGTCTCAGTGACAATATTTTGTGTATAATGATCTTCTCTAACAAGCTGCAGTCTGAGATGCTGCTGTAAAGCCTGCATTTGAACTTTTCTTTCAAGATAGTTATAGAAGGGTCTTGTGGGATCTCTCCCCCTCTTTCATTTGGTAGTAATGCATCTACTGTTTTTTTACTTCAATATTTTATTTTTATGCAGATTTCCAAGGAACATGGTGGTATCATGAGATTTATTCAAGTGTCTTGCTTAGGGGCATCTTCCTCATCACCCTCCAGATTTCTAAGGGCTAAAGCTGCTGCAGAGGAAGCAGTATTACGTGAATTGCCAGAGGTAGAATCATTTTCTTTGGTTTCTTGTATCTTGATATGTTTATTTCAGGAGCATAGCGTCTAACACTCACTTTCATGAATAGGCCACTGTTTTGAGACCTGCTGTGTTGATTGGTACGGAGGACCGAATTTTGAATCGCTGGGCCTTTTTTGCGAAGAAATATGGCTTTCTTCCACTTATTGGGGATGGATCTACCAAGTATGTCTTCAATATATCAATCGGAAGTTAGTTAAATTTAAATTTTAAATTAGTGTAAAATAACAACTTTGATCGTGCACTTGCATGCCTTTTTCTAAACCCTCGTTGGATATTTTGCTTGTAATACCTTCCATGCAGAATCCAACCTGTATATGTTGTTGATGTTGCTGGGGCAATCGTGGCAGCCTTGAAAGATGATGGCACCAGCATGGGAAAAGTTTATGAACTTGGTGGGCCTGAGGTCTTTACAGTGCATCAATTGGTAATTACTAATTTCTCATCTGTTTATGTGAATTTGTTGCATCAATGTGGAATTTTCTCTTGCTAAGAACCTAAAAACTGCAGGCAGAGCTAATGTTTGAGACAATACGTGAATGGCCTCACTACGTGAAGGTTCCTCTCCCAATTGCAAAGGTAAACATGTAACGATGCAAATGTGTATGGATGCCAAGAGTGAATGATAGCAACTAGTACCAAACCCCAACCCCCAACAAAAAATAGAAAGTGTAATGGTGTGTCTTCAACATTTTCTTTCCATTATCATGTCTTGTGGATATATTTATAACCATATCGGTGCCTGGTCTCCCAGTCCTAGTTGCATGCCAGATGAGCTAACTGCATGCCTATGTATGCCTTTTCCAATAATGTTTACTTGAACCTCAACTGTTTATGAATTTGAATGTTCCAGGCAATTGCAGCACCTCGAGAAATATTACTAAATAAAGTTCCATTTCCATTACCTAATCCTGAAATCTTCAACCGAGATCAAATCCTTGCCCAAGCTACAGATACAGTCGTCTCAGAAAATTGTAAGTTCAATAATTTTTAGGATGAGGCGCGTAGTTCCTTCTTCCCCGTGTCTTTTTTTTCTTTTTTCATCATTTTCTTGTCTATGATTGGTTAGTTTTCTCATTTTCCTTAATTTTGTGGTGGACTTTGTAGCTTTGACTTTCAGTGATCTTGGACTTGTGCCCCATAAGCTGAAGGGTTACCCTGTTGAGTTTCATATATATATATATATATATATATATATATATTTTTTCTTGTTTCCCTTTTCCCTCACTGTGGCATTTAGAATAAATGTATTAATAATGTGAAGGTCGACACCCATTCTATTTCAAATTTGCGCCCATTCTGATGATCTACATGGGCTTTTTGGGGTTGCTGATGATTATATTCTTGGTAATCACAGGTTTTCAGAGGAGGTTGCTTCTTTTGAGAAAAAGTAGGAAGCAATAAAAGATATGGAGAGTTATGCTTTTATGATTTTCATATCTGTAACATTTGACTGAATTTCGACCATTTGTAATTTCAAGATATTTGGCATCTTTTTTACTTGTTCATAAGCCCTGAGCCATGAAGGGAATTTGGTGTATCTTATTTATCTTTTTGCTTAATATCCTTGTAGTAGTGGGATGGGAAAATGATGGAGTTTTGTTGGCTTTAATTCTACCCTTTATAAATTAAATTGATAGATTCTATTTTCAGCAGTGCAAACCATTCTATATTTTATAGTTTTCTTTGCATCCTGATGATATCAAAGACTTAAAACAAGAAAATAATATTATCAGAAAAGGAAAAGAAGAAAAAAAAACGACGACCAACTTCTGAGATGGAAATGCATTATAATCCAACTTCTTAAAAGTTTTATTTCTGATATTTTTTGGATCTGCAGCACTATTTCTAACTGAGGAAGCAAATACAATTTGCTCCTTAAAATTCTAGTTTGGCTTAAAGTCGTCATTCAACAAGAATATTTGCTTTTCTTGGAAAGTCTTTATGCCAAACTCATAATGCAAGCAAGGAAGCAAGAAGCATGATTTGGAACTGTAGTCTGAAGAAAATCTTGATGGAGCCAAATTGACTCATCAGACGCATTATGGAGCCAAATGCAGGCCATGATGACTTCTTTGAACGCATCAACTTAGAAGGAAAGAACACCGGGGCAGCATTTTTCATACGGCCGGGCTCTGGAGCTGAAACGCACTCCGGTGATTGTTGCTGCATCAACATCTACATAAACAGCAATGTTCAGGGAGCTAACAATTCGTTTCTGGATGGGAGTTGTGTGAAAATGAAGGATCCAGGAGTTCACTTGTTCTTTGGAGACGTGAAGTTGGGTAAGTCTTTAAGAAGAAACAAGATGAAGAGAAGGAGAAGGAGAAAGAAAGAGGAAAGCCCATCTGCTTCGAAGCAGCAGCTAGGGTCTTGTCCCATGTTTTTGTATGTATTTTTCCCATTCATCTTGTTCCTTTCATTTTATGTCCATGAAATTGGGATTTGTATGCTAACTTTTTTGTGAAGTGGAACTTATCCAAACATCAACTTAGCCAATAACGCTAAGTAAAAAAGCTATTCTCGTTGCAACCAAGTTTTTTCTGAGTTAATAGAGATTAGTCTATCCAAAAAGGAAGACGAGGTTTTTGTTACATATGTATACGAAACTTCTGTTACATGGGTTACCTATCCATGTAAGTGGGTCTCATCTCTTCTCTTTTTAAGAAATTTTCGTAAACGCTATGTGAAGCTCCCATACCATATGTAAGTGAGTATCATTTCTTCCCTTATAATAGTACAAGAAAGTTTCATAAATGTTATGTGAAACTCAAGTGGGATGGGATCACTTATCTATAAATGTAAGTGAGTCTTATCTCTTCTCTTATAATAGCATAAGAAAACATTCGTAAACGTTAAGTAAAACTCATATGAGATCATTTATCTATGTAATGTAAGTGAGATCGTTTATTTATGTAAGTGGATCACTTGGCAAGATTTGAGCTCTAGAAAAGAAACTTGTGTTCTCTCTCTCTCTCCCTGGTCCAGATCTTTAGATCTATGAAGATGATCACAAACAGGACACAAAGATCCCTTGTGTTGTGTGGTTAGACTCACAGAGATGTATAGTGGTTGCCCACTCTCATGCATATTAAAATTATGATGCCCAACCTCCAGCACAAAGAAGACAAGAGCTTCCTTACATGCTGTGATGTAATTGCAGGCTTAACGCTAGCCGATAGCTGCTTGAATAAATAAATAATGGACCTCACCACCACCTACCTACATATACACTTGAGGATAAAGGAGAATAATTTATTGTATGTATGAAGCACATTTTGTCACTTCAACCCAGCAGTCCTTTTCTTGTCTCTGGTGAGAAAAATTGTGCTCCACCACTAGTCCTTGTATCTTAGGCCTTTTAACAATTTAATTATGTGATTAATTTATAGTAGAAATGGAGAATCTTGCTTATGGGTTATGATGGTATGATTAAAAGGATATTCCACCTTTAACAAAGTAATTAATTAGGTGACGAAAGATAATTTTATTACCAATTGAATTCGAGTTCGAATTAAAAACATGTTCAATGACCAAACAAATTAGAAAAAGGTGTTTAATTATTTGTTGGTATCATTGTCATAATTGTGAATTCCTTTACCCTTTCGCAGCTCCCAATGATTGTGCTTCCCTAGACCAATGTCACCATGTTCATTGCTAAAAATGAAACATATATCTGTAAGTATAATAAGCAAGAAAACAAAAAGTAATCACCTAACCACATTGCCTAAGAGCAACCACAATGATGCTCTTTATTTTTTAGTTAAAATTTGGCTAAGAATATAAGAAAGCTATTTTAGGAGCTCTCTAAAAAATTTCAACTCCAACCATACTCCCTAATTTGGAGAGTTATAAGAGCTATAACTCTTTTTTGATTGGTCCATCTTTATTAAAAAATAAAATAAAAAAGATTAGCATTAAATAAATGTTTGAAATACTCATTAAATAAAGCAGCATTAAATTATAGGGAGTCACTAGGAGTCCTTTCTCTCTCATTAGATTTAGGAGCTCCTAGAGGACTCCCTATTTTAGGAGGTGGATAGGGAGCGTGGTTGGAGTTGCATTTTTACAATTCCTCCCTAAAATTTGTCTAAGGAGGTAGTTTAGGGAGCCCATTGTAAATGCTCTAAGCGACTTTTCTTAAAAAACCCCAAGCCCTTTTTTCTTAAAAAACACTCATAGAGTTGTTTTCACTTTGAGAGGGAGGAAGTCAGTGTTCTTTCTCCCCTCTCCTCTCTTTTCTTCCTCCCTTCACCTCTTCCCTCATTTTCAGAGACAAATGATTTTCCCTATTTGTCTTCATTTTGTTGTGATTTTCATCCAACCATCACAGATGGCTGTGTCTCAGCGTCGGATCTCCACTTATGTTTCAGTGTCGGATTTTCACCACCATTCTTTTTGTGGTTTCTTTATATTTAGAATAAGTTGCAGAGACTCTTTAGGTTCCCTGTGTAGTTTTCACATTTTCTTTTGTGAAAGCTTTTCACATCTCCTTTGTGAGAGCTTTTCATTGCTCATTTGTGAGAGTTTTATTTGTATTGTTATGACTTAGTTTTTTCAAGTTTTATCTCTTTTTTATTTTTTTAAGTTTGCAATCTTAGTTGGGATGTCTATGCCAGAGTTTTTTCGATCTTGCGTAATTAGTGGAGGCGCACCAGATTGTTTTAATTTTGATGTTAGACCGCTCCGTTATTGTAATGACCATTTTATGGCTAGTTTGTATTGACTCTTTGTGACTAATTACTTTTTTAACTAAATTATGAATGCAATTATGGATTTTTTGTTTTTTTTATTATTATAAAGAATATATATGTATAAACCCTACCTGTGTTGAGCATCTAAAAATCATTAGAGTAAAGAAGGCAGTAAATAAAATAGATATTTTTAGGGCAAAGTGGAAATTTACCATGCATGAGCCTTTTCCTTGATTGGGCAGGAGCAGTGTGGAGATAGAGAGTAATGCCATGATTTGCTTAAGAAAATCCAATTAAGCTTCCTCATTAGATGGATCCTGTCCCTTCCAGTCACCAGTCAGTCACATGCAGATGCAGGAGAAAAAGGGTTGTTTGGGACAACCATGGTTCCATGATTCCAAGCCTCGAGACAGCGCCATCTTCGCTACATCACTCTCTCTTCACTTGGAAGTCGAGTTTTGCACACAATCTGATAGATTGTAAATTGAGAACTTGGTTTGAAACTACTTTTGTAAGAAGCACTTGTACTCACCATAAGTGCTTTTATTTTATTATTTTATTTTTATCAAATACTCATAAGTGCTCTCTTTATAGACATTTTTACTAGAAACACGTCAAATATTTTATTAAAATGTCAAGTACTCTATAAAGAAACATAATATATACTTCTTTATAAAGCACTTTTATAAGTCATAATGCGTTTTTAAGCATTACAAAAGCTGACTAGATGAAGTCACACCAAAATGTACGCTACCCAATTTCATTTTCCATCAAGAAATTGGTTTCTCTCTCTCTCTCTCTCCAAATCAATAGGTATTGACAGGCACGTTTTATGTCATTTTCCTTATTGGAAATCAACTATGATTAGCAAATGAGATGATTGTTCAAAATTCCTTCGCTAATAAGAATAAAGTAGCTCTTGCAATTATGAATTTATGATGGAGTCTAAAATATCAAATTCGGAAACATTGATTTTTTTCTAAAATTTTCTTATTCATGATCATCAAGAATGACAAGATTCCATGTGTTCTTAGTGTCATTTGTGGTTACCATCTTCGTATAAGTCTCCTCTTTCACGCCCTAACATTTTGAGACTCACCTGTTCCAGCCACTCACTGACCTCCACGTGTCCAAATTAACATTTCTCACTCAACCAAAAAAGAGTTTTATTTTAATAAATAAAAAAAAGAATTGGATTTGAAGGTGCCAAAAAAAAGCGTGGGATTTTCAACTTCATGCAACGCAATTTGAGGGACGAGGAATGACATCACCTTCCTCAATGCGACACGGCTTTCCCATCATGCCACGCGGCGAAATCCTACCGGCTACCGACATGACGCAACACCCGGCTTACGCTGCTAACGTGCGCCACCTTTTCATATCTGGACTCTCCGACTTGCGAGCTCATAGTCATATTATACTCTCAATTCTCTCTGCCTCTCTCTCTCTCTCTCTCTCTCTTCTCTCTATCTCTCTCTGCCTCAGCACAAAGTTGCATAAAATTCTTGATCTTTCTCGGCAAATCAAAACCTCTGTAAGTCTCTTTCTCTTAATTCACTAGTTGGCATTCCTTTCTTCGACCTTTTTCATGTTTAAAAGTTTGTCAATTTTGTATCTTTAACTCCAAGACAACCTGTAACTGAATTTTTTTTTAAAATTTAATTTTTTGTAATTTAACAGATGGAACCAACTCGGTCATTCCTCCTGATTCGTGGAATTCAAATCTGGGTTCTTCTAGATTTGGTCAATTTTAGTTAGCCCAGGTACATCTGTAGCTAAATATTTGTTCCTGAAATCTCTATTTCAGTTGTAGCTGTGAAAACAGAAAAAAAGAATCTTTCTTTTGTATTTGGGAGCTGAATATAAGCTCACATTTGTGTGTTCAGAAAAAAGGGTCAGGGTTTTTGTTTTGGTATAGTCTTGTTGGTGTAAGTATTGGGGTGGAGGGTTCTGCATTTGGGTTTGTGTGTGAATTTGGTGATTGATTGAGTTGATTTGTGATTTGGGATTTGGGTTTTGTGTGTGAATTTGGTGATTGATTGAGGGGATTCGGGATTTCAATTCGAATGGGAATTCGATGCTTGCTTGATTGATTGGAGTTTGAATCCAATGAGACGCCGCTCTCCGACCAGTGTACCATCCGAACAAATGGAGAAGGGGACAGGAAAGAGTCAGAATACAAGAATCTGTTTCTTGGCCTCATTGTCTGTGTTCTTCTGGATGTTACTGTTGTACTTCCATTTTGTTGTGCTTGGAGGTAGTACCGTAGATCAATCTGTCAAATTACAGTTACAAGCCGGTCCAGTTTACACAGAATTGAAGCCTACCCGTGTAACTAGTGATCCTCAGATAGAAAACCAAAACACTGAATCGAAACCTATCCATGTAACCAGTGATCATCAGATGGACAACCAAAACATTGTATCGGCACCTACCCGTGTAACCGATGATCATCAGGTGGACAACCAAAACACGGAATCAACCCCTACCATTGAGTCCCCTGCAAAAGCCATTCAGATTCATGAAGCGGAGAAATATCCGTTCATGAAAGCATTGAGAACTGCTGAAGACAAGAATGATCCATGTGGTGGGAGATATATTTATGTGCATGACCTTCCCCCGAGGTTTAATGAGGATATGCTGAAGGAGTGTAGGAGTTTAAGCCTTTGGACAAACATGTGCAAGTTCACAACTAATGCTGGACTTGGTCCTCCACTTGAGAATGCTGAGGGGGTGTTTGGGGATACGGGTTGGTATGCCACGAATCAGTTTGCCGTGGATGTCATATTTAGCAATCGGATGAAGCAATATGAGTGCTTGACAAATGATTCATCTGTCGCAGCAGCTATTTTTGTTCCCTTTTATGCCGGGTTTGACATTGCCCGGTACCTTTGGGGATTCAATATATCAAGGAGGGATGCGGCTTCACTCGATCTGGTTGATT